TTTTCCTCTCTCTTGCCCACTGATGATGAACTCAGTTTATGCAAATCTATAATAGTCATATGTTAAAGTTTTATGGGAACATTGACTTGTGATTTCAACACACTTGAATTTCAGTATATGTGAAGGATTGTCACAGAATGTGGCAATCCTTTTATTTATCACAGAATGTGGAGTTATAAATGCAATTTGTAACTTAGTTCATGCTGAGTTTTAATTGGAGAGGACTGGGCTACATCTCTGAGAATTTGTCAAACATTTCCCATGCTCTACATCTACTTATTTTGGATAAAAATTATCCTAAATATTTTAGCTAACTTCGTTATCTATGCTATTATTATTCTAGGATTTAGTCTCTTTAGCAGTGATTTTTGTTGTTGTTGTTGGTCATGGGGCTTTAACTCTGGGCCTGGGCCTCTTCAGCTCAAGGCTAGCACTCTGCCACTTGAGCTACAGGGACACTTCCAGTTTTCTGGTGGTTTATTGGAGATAAGAGTCTCATAGACTTTTTCTGCCTGGGATGGCTTTGAACCGATCCTCAGATCTCAGCTTCCTAAGTAGCTAGGATTACAGGCGTGAGCCACTGGTACCTGGCATTAGTCGAAAAAATTTTAACAAGTAATATTTTGGGACACAAATAAGCCAATTAAAAAAAGTATTGAGTTTTTTTAAGGTGACCTTATTTAAAAATTATTAGCTTTGGCCAGATGTTGGTGGCTCACACCTGTAATTCTAGCTACTCGGGAGGCATTGATGGGAGGATTGCAGTTCAAAGCTATTCTGGACAGGAAAATCTTTTCTGCCCATGAGAATCTTATCTACACTAAACTACCAAAAGAGCCAAGTCAAGCTGTGGCTCAAGTCATAGAGTACTAGCCTTCAACAAAAGAAACTCAGGGCCAGAACTCAGGCTCAGAGTTCAAGCCCCAGGACTGGCAAAAAAAAAAAAAAAAAAAGAAGAAGAAGAAGAAAAGACAAAAAGTTAGCTTTCATTTCAAGATTTATTTTTCTATACTTTTGGCATTAAAAAGAATGTAGTTATTAACAAAAACTAAAAAAACTGATTCCCATTTTACTTTATTTTATTTGTGAACATACTGTACCATTTTACTTTATTTTTTAACAAAAATCTAAGTTTGAGAACTTAGTCATCTAAGACATCTTCCTAAAACTCTAATTGTCTCAATCTGTTTCTTAAAAACCCTTTAAGTGACCAGACACTTGTCTCATGCTATAATTCTAGCTATTCAGGAAGTGGAGATAGGAAGATCATGGTTTGAAGCCATCTCAGGAAAAAAAAAGTTCAAAAGACTCTTACCTTCAATTAACCAGCAAAAAAGCTGGATTGGAAGTTTTGACTCCAGTTGTAGAGCACTGGCACGAGGCTGAGCAAGAATGTGAAGCCCTGAGTTCTAGCCCCAATACTGGAACACACACACACACCCCTTTCAGAGGGACCACACACACACACACACACACACAC